AACCAAACAAAACAAACAAGCAAGACAAATACCGGGTCGTTGCATCCTGAGCCATGGTGCACATCAGCCAAAAGTGCGCATTCACCACATCCCCACGTAAGCCAATGGAGATGGGGAGAAAACCGGGGAGGGGGGCAAAAAAAAAACCTGTCTTAATTATATAATTACCTCGTTTGCTCCTGCCAATTTGTCCGAGTTTTGGCGGACGCTTGTTCTGCGAGCCGTTGAAGAAGTTGTTGGTGTCTTGAAGGCGACAGGTGAAGGAAAGGTGTTCCTCGTCGCCCTCATTTCCATAATGACTCATTTTCTCTTCGTTGAAAGGCAGCACTTCCGACATCTCCGAAATGCGTCTTATTTACCGAGGCGCGACGGGTGAAATGGACAATATATGCGGTGGCCAAGCTTAAGCCCGGTGTGTCGGTAACAAACACAGTAAGAATAGAGAGGGGGGGTCAAAACAACAACAACAACAACAACAGAGGGAAAGAAACAACGCGATCCGCTGGCACGACCGAGCCCTTTCTGTTTACCCCCAGGACACGTGTCTCGCTCCGCCAGTACGCACCAGAAAGAAGACAAAATAAAGCAGGGAATGGGGAAAATAAAAAATAAAATAAAAAAATCTCTTCACTTTCCCCAATCGTGGAGCTTCGGCGACATTATTTTAAAAAGAAAAATCCTGATGTTTTGTTTTTTTCGTTCGTATGTTTGGTTTCCTCTCCTAGTTGCCTCGTCTCTCTTTGCGCGTGTGGATGCTGCTGTGGAAATGGAGGCGCGCGTATATATATGTACATATAAATATATTTATATTTATATATCGAAAAAGAAGAAGCGCCCGCGGAACCCGTCGCACGGAAAATCTGAGGAAGAAATGCAAATCGAGGAGCGATGCAAAACACCGATCCCGGGGAGACCTGACGAGGGAGCTGTGTGCAGGGAGGGAGGGTTGAGAGGGGGGTTCTGGTGCAACCCAGAAGCGTCCAGCTGGAGACAACCTGAGATCTCCTTCTCTGCTGAAAGAAAATCAAACTATCGACTATTCCGAACAAATTCTACACCAATCGAGATTAATCTATATATGTGTTTGATTGTTTGTTTGTTTATTTATTTATTTACTGCAGCAGCACGAGTCTGAGATACATCAAATTGTTAGATCTCTACAATTTCACAAATTTTGCGCATTTTTTCCCCCTCTTATTTTTTTTCTTTGTTTCTTTTGCCGTGATTTAATGTCGAGGAGGACGTTTGTTCATCAGGGGGTAGAGCTCGCCAGAGGATGGCAGTGTTTTCATAAGCTGGGGGGGATGTGACATTTGGACTCTCAGTTGTCACGTTTATATATATATATATATATATATATATATATATATATATATATATATATATATATATATATATATATATATTTATATATATATATATATATATATATATATATATATATATATTGCACTCGTTACTGTCCAATTGTTTGATATGAACAATTTGTGAAAAATGTGCAATCCAAAGGTTTTCTGGTTAAACATAATATACATGATGTTCCCAGATTATGACAGAAAAACCCCCACAAACCTTGATGTCTTTTAAATGAGCTTTGTGTGGATCAAATTAATTATTTAATTCAATATTTAATTTGCATTCTGTTAATATAATATTTCTTTCAAAGATAACTTTTTTTTTTCGTCAAGCTTCCATAATGTCCAGATTTCAAATGTTGCGCCGCTGCTCCATAGTCTGCACTCATAGGCTCTTTTATTCCCAGTGAGACCAGACCAGAGTTTATTTATCCAACCGTAAGAAATAAGGATATTATTAGTTGTACATAGGAAATTTTAATGCCGTATAATTCACAAATTGGAACAGAACAGAGAGAGTCAGGCACCATTCAGCGCTGGGCTTCAATTTGAGGATGAAACCAAGACACACAGCTCTGGATTAACGCTAAACTACACCCACTGTGGGGTTCTTATCCTGTTTGTGTATCAATGTTTTCATGACAAAACTGTCTCAGGTGCAGCAGTTGTGGATTTGTGTCAGTTGTGGCAGCGTGTGGGCAAGCAAAGACGAAAACCGAGTCCAGATGAAGCAATCAAAAAATGATAAAATCCAGGTACAGACAGGATTTTATCATGTCTGTACCTGAGAGTACAAACAGTTTCACCTCACCATAAGGAGATAATGGGCAATTATCTCCTTAGTACAATTAAATCTATTAATTGCACTATTACAGTGAGTGCTCCAATAAAATTTGGCCTGTCAATGGATTCTGCCACCTGAGCTGTGGACCTCTGCAGCTCCTCCAGCTTTAAGGATTGCTTATCATCTGCTTCTCTGAATAATGCTCTTCTGGTCTGGACAGTGAGCTTAGGAGTCTTGGCTGTACAATACCAGTTCAACTTTTAGAGATGATGTACGGAGCAGTGGGGTAATCTTGCCATGCTCTTTCTTCTGGACCCGACATTCAAATCAGCAACGTCTGAAGATGACTGGTTGCACTTGA